TTCTAAACTTTGTAATACTATCAGTTGAGGGGTTCTAAGAAAACTGATAGAAGTATGGTTGTTATTTTGATTGAAAAGGGAAAACCTTGTAAGTTTTATAGAAAAAAAACATTTTTCTTCTTGGACTCAAATTCATTACAAGATTTACATTTATCTGAAAATAATGATGTTCTCTTGATGTACAATAGTTGAACATGGATTTTCCTGTAAGATCATTATTGAAGAATTAATTGCATTGTTTGGGCTAAAATTGTCATTCCATTCTCATTGGATGAGCAGGCATTGAGGAGGATCGATTTTGAAATACATGTTATTTAACAATAATTAATGCTTAAAGTTTATTTAATAATGCATACGTCACAAAGTTTTTTTTTTAATTTGACATAAATATCGAATACACGTAAAACACAGTTGTACCAGGTGGGTCTTCTGTTCACTTAATTCTCTATTTGGTAATGAAAATAAAAGATCTGTTTGATTTGTCTTCGATTTTTTATTCTTTTCACCTAACCTAAGTTAGGTACGTTGCCCCATATCTAAATGACATTATCAAATTTAACTTACATAGTTAAGTATGTTTCTATGTCGTGATAAAGACCATTTTATGTTTAATTATTATTTTTTATTAAATTTCATAACAATTAAATATCATCATATAAAATAAGACGGAAGGAGTATTAGTTAAAAGAGTTGGTGGACGATGAACATGTTTGTTCCATTTGGTTTAAGTTACATTATTGTTTATCTAACCATGGATCTCTATGCATCTAGTAGACAAAAAGTCACCATTAATAACTTGTCATTTACCTAATTTATATTAATTGAGAAAGTCATATTTTTTAAAACAAAATAAATGACTTTCTAAAATAATTATAATAGAAATTGAGTGATCATAAAACTCAACTCAAATTTGTACATTGGTTTTTTGCATTATCATCTACTATAGTCCAATCAACTTTAATCCCTCGTAATTTGCATTGGATTTCTCATACTTTATCATAGAGATTGCACAAACCGAAAAGGGGTATAAAGTACCATTTTATTTATAATTTCTTAAAAAATATGTTAAATCAATAGTGAACAATTATTGTTGAATAGGGAAATACTATTTTTGAATCAATAGATAGCATTATAAAGTATCCTTTGATTGGCAATAACTAATTTCAGAGTATATAATTAACTTATTTGATCACTGTAATATAAATAGTAACATAAATTTTATTATTTACCTGATATTTCTAATAAAATAATTTTATATTATATCTCAAAATTATTATATTTTATACCTTATCGACGAGTAACACCTGACCGGTCCTAAGGAACCAGACAGGAAGTCACATGTTAAGGAACTGAATGGAGTGGCAACAATAATTGATTTCGAGATTTACAAAAATGTGTCCAGCCATGTAGTCTTGTCCCCACCCACCCAACCCTCTTTGTCCCCTCAATTCACCTAAATCCTATTTACGTATTATATTTGTTTTAATATGATATATTTATAACGATCGAAAGTTATTTAAAAATAATTATATTTAAAATTAATTAAGGATTATTTTTAAAAAATATTTTCCTTTAACAAAAATAATATATATAGCATATAGTGTATTTTCTATGAAATCAACTTACGAAGATATACGAAACAACATATAATTTAAAATTATTATACAAAATATAAACTTTAACATCTAAATTCGTATCGCATCGTTCTATAAATAGCATTTGAATTACAGTCGGTTTCCTCTATCTTCTTTTCATTTCGACTATTGTTCCTTTATATTTTGGAATTTCTCTTTTTCCAAGGTTAGCCCCAGCTAGCATGTTTACAAAATATATTATCAACTTTTATGAAGATTGACAAAAATATAAAAAAATAAAAAAATCATGTTCTATTTCCCATGTATAGGCTCATAACTTTGTATGTTTTCGAGTTTTGTCCATTTCAAGTCTACTTATAAGCATGTACCAGCTAGCCTGTCTACACTAATATCTTAATTATATTTTCTTTATAATTTATTATTTAAAGAAAAAAATATATATGAGAAACAAAGTTTGACTAAAATTAGCAAAAGTTATACTTTGAAAAGATTCTAGCTAGGATAGTATGAGCTTTTGAAGATTTAAATAAAATAAATATAAAAAAGAATACACAAAAGAAAATACGATGCTCACATAAGGTACATATAAGTTTCATAATACTTACACGTTTCAAACACAAGAAAAACCTAATAAGTGCCCCTTTTGGAGACAAATTTGTCTTAGCTACAAATTGCCTAAATCCACCAAAATGTGTAAAGACAAATAAAGTATATTCTTATCAGAGATAAAAGTTATTCGTGAAAGTTATTTTCTCCATTTCATTTTATGTGGTACTTTTATTTTTAACGATAAAAAAAACATTTTAAAATCAGTAAATATTTGATCATGCTATAAATGCGTACTCTTTTATTTAAAAATTTGATTTATCATAAGCGTAGTATTTATAAAAAAATTTAAATTACCTCATATAAATTGAATCGGATTGAGAAAAAAAGTATATGATCAACCAAAGGAAAAGACCCAAGTGGCAAAGAAGGAAAGAAGCAATTTTATCATCCATATGATATAGACCAATTGTAAAGTCCCAAGTGGCAAATTAAAAAATGTATAGAAAAAAGAAAGTTAAAACTTTATCAGCCACTTTAAAGAATCAAAAAAAAGATATAATTCCAGTATCACCCGTTGAAGACAACTGGAGTATATATTATTCTCTCTTATATATAATAATAAAAAAATTTGTATAAGTACTACTTTTCTCCGATTTATACTACTCGTTCTTTTTTTTAAATTAATTTTTATTTTTATATTAATTAACAATTTAATTTTAAAATATTTAATCAAACAAATATTTATCAGTTAAATTAAACTAAACTCGTATAAAATAAGACAGATCGATTTATATAGTTGAGTAATATATATGTGTGTTTATCAAGAATCAACATCCACTTCACAATCTCTCTCAAAAAAAAATATTTTTTCTATGATGAATACTAGCTCCCATTTCCCAGGTGATCATAGATCATCTGATGGATTTGAATTTGGTCATTGTTGTGGTGGTGGAGGTGATAACGATGTTGTCTGCTTTTCGAGCAGACGATCATCGGAGGAAGAGGTTGTTATTGGAAGTGGTAGTGATCGTACAGTAGTCCAAGGAGATTACTTCGATGGAGTTTTTAAGTATATACATCAGATGCTTATGGAAGATCAAGAAGATTTAGAAAATAGGCCATGTATGTTTCAAGATTGCATAGCTCTTCAAGCAGCTGAGAAATCGTTTTATGACGCGTTGAATCCACCTACAATTCATCGCGATTTCGTTGATGATAGTGGTAATCAATTTCAAGACGATTACTGCGATGCTGTGAATCATCAGTTTGCTGAGACAACTTTCAATTCTGATTTAGATAATGACCAATTTTCGTTTTTTTATAACACTAATACTATCTGTCATGGTGTTGGTGATGGTATTAGTGTTGTCAATGGCGATACATCGAATGCTATCAATTATCATCAGAAGGGCGAAAATGAAAACAAAAAGCATACTCGCGATGAAAATAGTGAGAGTTCAAAAGGGCGAAAATCGAAGCAGTTGGCTAGCAATGGAACAGAGGATGGAAAAACAGAGGAGCACTATGATAAGGCGCTTCTCTGCCCGGGTTTGAATCCTTCGTTTTACGAAAATCGATCAAAATCAGCAACAGCATGGGATAATGCAGCATGGGATAAACAAAAGAGCTCTCATATAAAGCAGTCTAAACGTGGAAGGCCTCGCGGAAGCAAAAAAGGCGTTAAGACGAATGAAGTAGTAGATCTTACAAGCCTCCTAACGCGTTGCGCGGAGGCTGCAGCAAGCTACAACACCAAAACATTCATAGAGGTACTCAATAAAATTAGGGAACATTCTTCACCTTTTGGTGATGCTACTTCAAGATTGGCCTATTGCTTTGCCAATGCCCTGGAAGCTCGTTTTGCTGGCGGAGATACAACATGGATCACAAGTAAGAAAATATCAGCTGCAGAT